ATGTGGTGCTGAGGATTGAACCCAGTGCCTCACATGTGTTAGGCAAGGGCTCTACTACTGAGCTACAGACTCCAAATCATCTTTTTTTTTTTTAATTGGTTGTTCAAAACATTACAATGCTCTTGACATATCATATTTCATATATTTGATTCAAGTGGGTTATGAACTCCCATTTTTACCACGTGTACAGATTGCAGAATCACATTGGTTACACATCCACGTTTATACATACTGCCATAAATGCAGATGTTCTTAAACTAAAGATGGATCAAAAAGAAAGTTCCACCAGGTAATTTAAGTCATATTTAGCTGTGATGTTAAGAAAAGTCAGTCCAGGAAAGATTGACACTTGAAGGCCATGACTCTGAGAAATGTGTGCAGAAATTGCTGGTGGGTAATAGATCTCATTATTGTGTAATTCTCCAAACATTTAAAATTTCATGTAATTGTCTTGGCATTCCTACATTAAAAGTAAAAAAAAATTAACAGGACTTACTCGAAACATTAAAAGAAACATCGTAGGTAAGTATTTTGTGGGATTAAAGGTTTCATGCAATCATGCTGTCTTCTGAGTCTCTCCAAGGTATTTCTCTAATAAGAAAACAATAAGTACATACATAAAATGAAGTAACTGACTACAGATAAAGAGAAGTTCATTGACAGCAGGGCTTTTGGCAGCTCTTTAAGCCCAACAGGATTTCTGAAGTTTACTAATCTCAATTAAAATTTCATTGTGAAAGCAGCAAGGACACTAACACTGGAGAAATCTTAACACACTCTCTTAAAATCTGCCCACTACCTCACTCCCATGTGTACACTTTCTTAATTAAATTCCATAAGTACTGATAGAGAAGAATCATGATGTGTTAGAAAGGGGTGGCCTGATGTCACACAGATGAAGACATGAATTCCTGTTTTATAGTCAGTTTAGTGAGCTTCAGTGATTGGCACACAACCAGTCATACGACTAGTGAATTGACCACTCTCATTCTCTTTCTTATACTGTTGGAAGACATTTCACAGCCAGTATTTGCTATTTTTCCTTCCCCAGTACAGCCTACTCCACAACCCACACTATGCACATCTCAAAAAAATCCTCTGTTCATTAATAGACATTCATTAAACTTGGTGGGTTTCCAATCTTGCATTAAAAACAGTGTGTTATTTGCTTAAAAGACTCAAACTATTAGCCCCTGGCATTTGAAAGCTAGGTAGAAACTTAAATCATGATTTCCCTAGCTGTCATTTGCTTACTAATAATTTTTCAAGGCCTTTGGCTTGTTAACAGTGTAAATTGTTGAATTCAAATTGTGTGGATGTTCTTTTGAAATTGATAAAAGCTATATAATTGAAAGTAGCTACAGTTAATGAATAATGACTCTAAAGATTGCACTTGTTGGGCAAGAAGTTTTAAGTACTTTGTGCACACAGTGTTTTAAGAGGCACTGTCCCATCCCAAGTAGATTCCCACAGGCTATGGGAGACATTAATTCTACATATGGAGAGTTCTTGAATAAGAGGAGTAGGGAGTGTGTGTGTATGTGTGGGTGTGTGTGTATGTATTTCTACAGACTTGTTGAAAATGTCCACCATTTAGCTACTCTATATCTGCTCTTATGTGTTTTTATGCGTATTGTTTTATTCTTCAAAGTTGGAGTGTTTATTGTTGGTAATCAAAAATGTGTGGAAGGTATCAAAAATGTCATGAAATACAAAGCTTATAAATGAAAATCCTCCCGTTGAAAACTCAGTTCATATTACTAATGAAAAAAAAAATCTTGGGAAACAGAAGTATTAGGAACTAGGGACTCCTAAAATCAAGGGAGAACTGGAGACCCTACTGAGCTACCTTCTTCACATGGCTAGTCACACTCTGCCTATTATGATTTAGTTTGGGTTTTAAAAGGCCTCCAATTACTTATGTGGAACAGATTTGCTTTTTCAATAAATGAAAAAAACACAATCCTTAAGTACTGCACACTGTGGTCCTAGTTCTTGATTTAATATTGTTGACATATTCCATGAAATTTATTAGAAAATTTCCTAAAATTTTTAGTATAAAATGTAGGTTTATGATATTGATTTAGTTGTTTCTTTGTAACTGAGAGCAAAATTATCTCCTTGTAGCAATTAATGGACTGTTATGACTTTTCCAAGCTTCCCTTTAATGGAAGACAGAAACTAAAACTTCTATTTGAAATATAATTTTGTCCAAGTGATAGGATGATTTATAGCTAGATTTAGTGTAATTTTAAAAATAAGATTAGGGCTTTCTGCTTACGTCCTTGAAGTATGACTTTTTATATTGGGCTATATTTTATTTACCCAAACCATAACTATTTATTGAGAGTATGCAAAATACTAGATAAAAGAGGAAATGGAAAAAAAACCTAACTAGAAAAGAGATTGATTTTATTACTTTTCCCAAGGATCATAAATGCTAAAGATTTGTTATTATTTTCTATGTATTTATTTTCTCCTCCCCTAGAAAGAGGGGTGTTAGAAATGGATAATAATAGTGTAAAAGATAACCAAATGAGTCAGGGTAAAGGGAAAATAAGGATCAAGAGACACAATTGGGCAATGAAAGTGAGAATCATGTAATACTAGAGATTTACTTAAGGAAAACTGTAAAGTC